CTACTAGGCCTCTTCTTTCACAGTAAAAAGGATCACGTACTTATGCTTGGAGGAGCAGAAACAAACAAAATTGTATGCACTACTGACACAAAGAAAATAAATATTAAGTGAGAAAAATAATATACATATACATTATTTTGCTGTCACAAAACAGCCCAAATGAAAGAGCCATATGAACAATAAATCATGGAATCAATTTCAAGGAAAACAAGTTTTGCTTTGGAAAATTGCATTCAAAATATATGAAATCAACTAAATATGAAAGTTTTAACATTCAATAACTGAGAGTCGGTAGAACTTGAATCCAATGAAATATAAAATTCCCCAAATTTGAAAAAAAATTATTTTACTCGTTTTTAAAGATTTAAAAAATAGAATGTGTATATCATATTGCTCCTTGACATTTTCCCCCCAAAGTAAAATCAAAGGAAATAAATAGCAAATTCAGAGAGAATTAATACAGAAAAAGTCTTCCCTCACTTGCTACCCTCTCCATTCCCACACAAAAGGGTGAAGCCAATGGACCCACTCTGCCTCTCAGGAACAGTTGAGACCTGGAAAACACCTCCCAGCTCTGCTCGGCATCCTCTGGCAAATTCCTCTGGCCGCCATCTTGATCTCCTTTAACCAAAGCAACCCAGCCACTCTGTGGCCCAAGCCAATGGCAAAGCAAAGAAAGGGTAAGATAATCATGACATGAATTACAGTAGATCTCAACAGGCAAACCCAAACTGGCTTAGGGTCTAAATTCACCTGCTAGGGCGGAATAGCCTGGCATATTAACTGACCATTGGAAGGAGTCTCCCAATGCATCTCAGAAAATCACAGGTGAAGATAGCTGTGTGGATCCATGATGGAAATGCAATTGCTCAGGCTGAGCTGCTCTGACCATGAAAACAGATATGCCCCAAATGTCATCACATCAAACACAGTGGAGAATGCTCTTCAGTGCAATCAGGTGGTCTGTCCCCTGTCCTCCCTGAGGTTTTAGGGGTGGATAAGAGTGATGGATGCTGCGGAGAAACCTATCTTTTAATCCTCTTTCTTCCCACTTCAATTTCCTATCACAGCCAGTTCGCTCTGAGAACAAGTGAAGTGAGCAAGCCAGTTTTCTAAGACAGAGTCCTCCTGGTCTGACTGTCAAGAGGGCAATGGGGATTCATACTGAGTGGCAAGTTTCCTTTGAATCACCTTCTTCACGGAGGTGTGCAAGGGATCCAGCAGGAACACATCACATCACAGGCTCCCAGGGCAGCCCGCAGGGTGTGGGGAGGGTTCCAGCCAGGCTTCCGGCTGCCTTCCACTCCCCTCCATGCTTGTTTAAGCACCCAAGTCAGAAGGAGCTGTTCAGGATCTGATTCCTTAAATTACATGTAGGAACACAGTGGCAATAACAGTAGAACAAATATTATTTATACTCTCGAAGCCAAAGTGAAACTTTTTCATCACCACAAACATTTTCTAAAGCCCAAAATTTCACTGCTGAAAGAACCCCTCAGAGGAATTACTCAGTAAGCCAAGTTCCAGTTTGCAAGAAGCAGAGAAGCATTTTATGTCCGTTTTCAAGGCATAAACTTGGTTACGATATAAAGTGGCTAAAACGTGACAGAATTGTTCCAACCAGAACTCTAGGTGAGCTGTGTTTCCAGAACTGTTACCTGTAGGTATGACCACAGCTGCTGACAGTAGCAGGTCCAGCTGTTTGGACCCTGAGCATCCCCAACCCCTGCTGTCAGGCCACAGCCAAGTCAACAAAAGCAGTGGTTAAGTGAATAACCAGAACTTGGACAAGTTCTGTTAAAGCAACCAATGCCTAGAGGGTCTGAAAGATGCCTCCTCACTGTATAAACAGGGCAGTCTCGTTAGAAGCTTCTTCAGTCTTCCTTCCTTCTCTAGATTTTCAGAAGACACATCAAGGAAACTTGAACACACCGGGTACAGGGAGCAAAGAGAGCTTATAACAAAATGACAGAACATCCTCAAACCCTACTTTTGTGCTCCCTCCACTAGAAATCAAGGGACGTTTGATAAGACCTCTCAGGGTGTGTGAGTTGCAACGTCACAGCTCAAAAAAGTTCTGTGAATCCGCTACATCCTAGCAGGACCCAAACCCTGTTGTTCTCTGCACCCCCAGGCTGCCTGTCTTTCTCTTCATCCACGCAGTCACTCGTGCCTTAAACTCCCAGACTACACTATCCCTGCCCACACGCACACGCGCGCACACACACACACACACACACACACACACACACACACACACACACACCCCTATTTGCATAGGTAGTGCTTGTTCAGCCTAGTAAGGCTCCTTGCAGGAGTCACTTTCTCTGGCAAGTTTCCCAGACACCTCCCCCAAACAGAAAACCCCAAACTGGGCTTCCTGAGGCTCCCACGGCCAGCTGTGTACTCCTCTGGTCTACTACCAGTCACTTACCCTGGACTGTGTCTTAATCCCAATGCTCAGGATGTTTGTTGAACTGGACAGAACACAGCTTAGGTTTTGCTTTACAACAGAAATTTCTGTAAATCTGCTCTCCTGCCTGTGTTCTTTATGTGATGGACCGGCACCGCCACCACCCATCACTTGCCTATCTGCCACCCAACCTGTCACAAAGTTCTCCCCTTGTTTCCTCCTACCTCCTAGTTTGGGGGCTCATCTTCTCTTACCTGGACTATCTCAGGGGCCTCCCACCTGCTCTTTGGGCTGAAAAGCCCACCTCCACTCCACTCACTGAGACAAAGCTCTGATCACATCACTCCATTGCTTAATGCCATCCCCCAGCTGGATCTGCCCTGGAGCAGACCTTCCCATCTGGAGCCACAGCCCACAGGGATTTTGGCATCCCTTCCACTATTGGAGCAGTTGGACTGGACCTAAGATGTCCCCAGATGTGATCTCTAGCTGCAAGCAGCCCTATTTACTTCACTACTCAAATGTTATTTCCTGAATGCACTATGACATAAAACTTTGGGAAGCACTGCCCTAAAGATTAAACCCAGGCTCCTTAGCATGACCATGGGACGCTCCACACAGGTGCTTACCCTTCCCCTCAGGCCACGCTGCTTGTGGTGCAGCCACAGTACAGAGCCGCTGGCTGCCTCAGTGCTTTGCTCCCCCTCTACCTGGAACACCCTTCCCCCTTTCCTTAGCTAGTCGCACTCTGAATTATCCTTTAATTCAGGCGCATCCCTACATGCAGATTTCCCACATTAATGTTTTCAAAGCTGGCTTGCTCAAAATTAATCTGAAAGGAAACACAGTAAAGATGGATCTCATGCATGTGTTCATCATTTGATTGATTTAATTAATCCTGTGTAACAACATAGCTCTAAAGCCCAAAAGCTCCCCTTAAAGGACTAAATGTCTGGGTTCTTAATTCAAGGTCAACATAATCACCAGCATTAGTTCCTTTCCCCTAATAATTCATCCTTGGCCACTTGAACCTTGCCATTTTTCAAAATTAAAATCCTGAGTTCTTAAAAGGCTTGTATTGACACTTCAGGCTTTAGAATAAGAGACATTTTTTTGCTTGCTCCTGAGGGTGGTTTACAGAAGATGGCTAATTAAAATATCTTGGTGCCTGTCCCCTAAGGCATCTCTTTCTCCCACACCAAGAGCATTCAGACTCACATCCTTGATACTTGTCAGATCCAGATGAATTTGAGTGACTAACAGTAGCAGAGTGAATAGAAACCCAGCAAGGAAAAAGTCCACATGCAGCTGTTGCAACCATGAGATTGATGTGATTTGATTTATGCAAGAAAAATGTATCAATGACCTACCAGTTACTTTTCTTAATTAGGGTAATGTATTCATGGGCGTTTACAACATTATTCTCTGTACCTCCTTGTGTGTCTGAAATATTTCATAGTAAGAAAGAGTTTTCCAGTCAAAATGGGTTTTTCATGTTCAACAAAAGCTGGGGAAAGAGTCAACCACTGGTCTTTCTCAATTTGAGGGGAGGTGCCCTTTTACAGGCTAGTGGTCATGTCACCCGAGTCCAAGCTTGTACTGCTCACCACATGACAGGCCAATAAATCAAGAGACGAGTTGCTGGGGCAAAGGAATACCGACTTTATTCAGAAAGCCTGCAGACCAAGAAGATGGTGGACTAGGGTCCTAAAGAACCATCTTACCCTAGTTAGAATTCAGGCTTCTTTTATACTAAAAGGGGAGGGGGTATGGTTGGTTGGTGTAAACTTCTTGGTGTCAGAATCCTTTGTTATTGCAGCTGTCACATAGGTTTACAATGTTCCTATAAACCTTCAACAAGACATATTCTCTGTTCTGCAACATTTTATCTCTGTATGAATGGAAAAGTGTTATACCTTGAAAGGTCAGAGCCTTGAGAATGAGGTATCCTGTATATTTCAGGCTAGAGGCAACATTCTTAACTTGCAGCAAAAGCAATAGAATACAAAGGTTAAAGGAAAAGAAATGGATCCAATAAGGGGTCAGATTTGTTCTTCCCTATTACAGTCAGATAGGAAACAGCGAGTTTAAAGGGGTGGCTTTTCACCTGAAGAACTGGTAATTCTCAATGTGCCACCCTTTTAACAAAAATTGCGATTGTAAATGTCAACAATTCATTTTTCCTCCTAGTGCAAAACTTTTAGTTTAGGACTTTCAAAACATTCTTATTTTCACAGGGAGAGGAAGAAGAACTTGCTTTTACTGAGCACGATCTACAGTTGGCCCTGCGTATCTGCACAGGTTCTACCAACCGCAGACTGAAAGTATTTGGAAATAAATTTCCAGAAGGTTTCAAAGAGCAAAAAGTAGGTGTAAAAGGGTTTGCACACTGCGTCTCAGGTTACTGTGCAGGTAATCTCACTGGCGGCGGGGTGTTTAGGTCTCCTGATCCTCAACCCTGCCCATATATTACAAAGCCTCTTTGTGTTTCAGAGAAACAAATTATGGCCCCAAATGCTTAAACAGTTGTGGACAAGGTCACAAACCACACCTGGAGCCCAAGTCTCCTACGTCAAAGCCCCCTTTCCAAGTGCAGCACTGAAGCACTGGCTACCTTGGGTCCCAGATACTGAGTTTGGTTATGGCCCAAGCGCAACAATGACAACCACATTCCCTGGTGTCCCAGACAATCACTATTACACTGTGTGACTTATTCAATTTTCTCAAACAGCTGGAGATGCCCCAGTAAAAAATCCAGACTAATCCTTTAGCTGTCATGAATATATGTAACAGGAACACAAATGTCTTAACAAGCAATGGCACTACGCCGACTGTCAAAACTTTGGAGGTTTGCTATTATCTACTAATAACACTCTTTATAAAAATGAGTTATTGTAGGGTATATAAAATATATCTAAAGAAAGCTGTTAAAAATGGATGAACCTGAATTTGCCATAGCTTATTTGTAAAGTATAACACAACACATCTTGAAATAGAAAATGCGTTGTTTTAAATCTTAAGCCCTTTATTTACTACAATGCAGAACATTTTATTTTTAGACATCAGTGGGTTTTGTGTTGTTGACATGTTCACTTATTCAACTGAAAACAAAAGTCAGGAAAATCACATGGTGACTAGTAGTAAGAGCAAGCATGTAGACCATTCTTTGTATTGATGTTAAATCAACCGATCAGTAAAGCCTTTCTTTCTAATAATTAGGACAAATTCACTGTTGCCAAATAGTGTTGGTCTAGGAATCCTCTAGAAATACAGGCTTTCATTTCACACATGGCATAGTCACAAAATGGAGATAGCTTTTACTTTAACTCATGGGATTTGCTCATCCTAAATTGCTGTGAGATGCAGAGAAATGGGTATTTTGTCATACGTTGTACAACAGTTTCTTCAAATACCTGCTCATCCTCAATAAAACTAACAAGTCATCCAGACACACCAGCATCTCAATGTGGGACACAGAGGTGGACATATCCATCATACACACATACAAAATTAGGAGACTCAAGGAATATGCAAAGATGGCAAGAAATCATTTGATTCTTCGGTTATGCTCTAGTGACAAATACATATTTCTTGGCAACCAGCCAATCAGTTCTGGAAATAATATCGGACCATGACCCAATAAAGTCTAACAGCCTCTACCCCTTGCTTTACATGCACCATTAGAGCCTGTCGCCAATCACTAGCCATATTTCTCAGGCATACTTTCCTTTCTTTGGAAGCATGAAATGCCCCTAGATAAATTTGCCATTCTCCAGAAAAACACACTTCCCATTCAACTGCAAATCCTATTCAAATCAAAAATTAATTCAGGCAGGCAGTTTAGATTTCTTAGAAAACTTCTTAAAAATGACAAACGTATGTGATGGTAAAACCATCCAATATGTCTGCATGCTGCCTTATTAAATTAAAAACACCTGGTTTATTTATACAGTGTATTCAATGGCTTACAGATTAGGATCCTAGAAACAATACATGTCTTATAGCAAAAAATATACATATAATAATCCACCTGTAGTTTATATAAATGATGAAGTGTTTCTGAATATATCTATATATCTATATATGTACACATATATACTCCGTGTGTGTATTTGCAGAATCAGCACACAAATATCACAGTCTTTCATTGGCTCTTCCACTTCAGTGTCAAGAACACCAGGTTCAAAGTCTGAAGGAGCGGAACAAAGGTCACCGCTGAGGACAAAGGACTGGCTTGATGCACCTTCCTTTGTGAAGGACCAAGTTTGCTGGACAGTGACAACCAGCAACACACGGCTTATTGCAGGGACCGATCTCATTCCAGTTGTCACAGGTCTTGGCACATCCCGGGCCACAGGTATCGTACACGGCACCGTGCTTACACTGGGTGGCTGAAAAAGAGGAGGTGACGTAGGTGAGATGTGGGGAAACCATTAGAGCCAGGTTAATTCACCCTCAGCCCCATGCCATTCCCGAAGGCTCACGTCACTGATGGCCCTGGTCTCCCCACAGCACAGGTGCAACTCTGCATCCTAACAAAAGAATAACAAACACCGAACACTGCCCAAACACTCTAGGAACCACCTGCACCTAGAAAGACAACATCAAAGATCCACCTGCTGGGCCAGCGAACTTCAAAATAAAATAAAATGAAAAAGCTTTATTCCCAGATAGGACAAACTATACATTAGTCAAGCCTCAAGGAAATCTATAGGTTATTTAGGTATTGAGAATAGTATGAAAAGTTAACTCCAAATAGTTCTTCCAGCTATTGAGCTGTGATGAATAAAAATAATTTCTGCAACCACCTCAATATTCAAATACACAGAATTACACATACAGGGAAAAACCTGCCAAGGGTATTGGAAATGAGTGACATATTTTAATCTAGTGATCATGAATTAATCAATTTGAGACAAATTGAGCAAGAGTCGGGTAGGGACCAATGGAGAAAAATTAGATGTGTGACTGGGGAGAGGGAAGTGGCTGGCTGGCTGGTCAGGGAACGTAAAAATGATGATGTAGCCAAATCATAGCAAGTTACTATCTTTGTTAACTTGGAGCTGAAATGATTTTGACAATATTCTGAGACTTCCTGAAATTCATGAATACAGTTGTCAGAAAAAAATACTGCCAACATTCTGGAAGTTCTATGACACATGGACTTTCCCATCTGAGTTAGTTCCAATGACAATCAAAGGTGCAACCCCTCATTCTCAGGAGTAGGAATGTTGATACACTAGGGATTTAGAACAGGGAACCAGGCCGCACAGCAGGAGGTGAGCGGCGGGCAAGTGAGCGAAGCTTCATCTGTATTTACAGCCACTCCCCAGCACTCGAATTACTGCCTGAGCTCCGCCTCCTGTCAGATCAGTGGTGAAATTAGATTCTCAAAGGAGCACGACCCTACTGTGAACTGTGCAGGTGAGGGATCTAGGTTGTGAGCTCCTTATGAGAATCTAATGTCTGATGATCTGAGGTGGAGCTGAGGCAGTGATGCTAGCGTTGGGGAGTGGCTGCAAACACAGATTAGCATTAGCAGAGAGGTTTGACTACAGGGAGGCCATAATAAATCAATTGCTTGCAGACTCATATCAAAACCCTATCAGAGAGTGGCAAGTGAAAACAAGCTCGGGGCTCCCACTGATTCTGCATTATGGTGAGTTGTATACTTATTTCATTATATATTACAGTGTAATAATAATAGAAATAAAGTGCACAATAAACGTAATGTGCTTGAATCATCCCCAAACCATACCCCCTCCCTGCCCCAGTCCATGGAAATATTGTATTCCATGAAACCAGTCCCTGGCGCCCAAAAGGCTGGGGACCGCTGATTTGGAAGAATCCTCTTGAAGAACAGCAATAACAATCCAGCTTCCAGCCGCACTTGCCTGTGTCTACAGTTGCTGACACACAGCTCCTAGAACACTTGGAAATCTCCAGAGTGACGAGTGTCTTTTGTATGCTGGTAAGGACTGGTGCCTAGGGTCCCTAGATAGCTTCAGGATGGGGGTTGGTTACCAAAAAGACCTAGGCATGATTAGAGGGTTGGAACTTTCGGCCCCATTTCCCAGGGAGGGGAAGAGGGATTGGATATTGAATTAATCACTTTCAGCCAGTGATTTAATCAATCAGGCCTACATAAGGAAATTTCCATACAGAGCCCTAAATGACTAACGACAGGTTCAGAAAACTTTGAAACTGGCAGACACATTTAGGTGCTGGGATTATGGTGTCCTCACTCGTGCACTGGGACCCTTCTAGACCTTACTCTCTGTACCTCTTCATCTGGCTGTTCATTTGTATCCTTTATAATAAACCAGTAAGAGCAAATAAGTGTTTTCCAGAGCTCTGTGAGCAATTCTCGTAAATTATTAAGCCTGAGAGGGGAGGGGGTTTTGAGAACACCTCTCTCCCCCGACTTTGTAGCCAAGTGGAGCAGAAGTGAGGGTAACCTAGGGACTCGATACTTGCAGCTGGCATCTGAAGTGAGGCGTCTTGTGGGACTGAGCCCTTAAACCTGTGGAGGCCGATGCTAACTCTGGGCAGTTATTCTCAAAATTGAATGGAATTTTAGGACACCCAGTTGGTGTCCAGAGTGTTGGAGAACTGGTTGGTGTGAGGAAAAAAAAAACCAACCCGCACATGTGGTGTCAGCTTATTGTGAGTAAAAACAGTACGTTTCCAGGGCACTGGACTTTTCCTTATTTCCCAACATGCTACTTATCCATTTTAAAGTAGTCCGTCTATGAAACTTACTTCAATTAAGTAAACTGCATGTGCCACTTGTTTTCCACCTGGATCCTAACTGACACAGTGGATAAGTAAAAATTTACTACTATTCTTTAAGGCTACTTTCCCAAACTTTACCTCCACCATGTAACTCTAGTATGTTGTTTTGGCTTCTCATAATTTCATTCTATTCTTTAGGCCACTAGGAACCTCCTGGAGCCACTGTCAAGCTCGGTGAATGTCACCACCATTCACCCTATCTTCCCCTCTTTTAGACTCAGTTCCCAACCTTTTCTCCTTCCTCTCTTGTCTGGATAGGAGGTCCCTTGACTGTATACTCAGAGCACCTGGCGCCCACCTCTATCCCTGCATTTGCAACATGAAATTATAATCATCCATTTCCTTGTCCTCTCTTTCTCCAACTAAATCTAGGCTACTTGAGGGAAGCAGTAGTGTGGTGTTTAACATGTAGAAGGGACTCAGAGAGCTGCTGTGTGATTGATGCATTGATAGATGGATGAGTGAGTGAGTAGATCAACTTAATTCTTCTTCTTTAAATCTCTTAACTTATGCATTTCTGATAATCTTTTGACTTTTCACGGATCCCTTCCAAGTTCTCTTTTTCTCTTTTCGGTGATTAATAGAATATGCTATACGTTGGACATGCCTAATAATTTGGAAACACCCTAGCTGAATATCATATTCACAGCAAATAATTGTATCCATGTGTTGTTCTATTTTTATGGATCAGTGGTGTTCAAAGCTGGAAATCAGGGTCGACAGAGAACTTCCCAACGCCTGGACTCCCACCCCAGACCAATTAAATTAGAACCTCTGAAGGTAGAACCAGGTTATCAGTATTTTAAAAATAATTTAAAAAATACTCCCCAGCACAGTTAATTTTAATGGGCAGCCACGTTTGAGAACTGGTCCTGTAAACAACCCTCACATTCATGCTTCGGTCACTGTAGAGACTCACGCCTTTTCAGCAAAGAAGAGGGCAACGAATAGTTCCAAAGTGGAAGTAGGTGCACATTGAAAAGCTCCTGCTGTTTCCCACCTTCCTCCACCTAAAACTCTACTGGAGCTCTTCCCAGTCTCAGCGCACTCATCCTCTCTTATTGATGACTCAGGACGTCTGCAGGAGCACCTTAACCCACCTCCCTACTGCCTCTCCTCATCGGCACCCAGCCTTCATTTGCCATTTCTGCTTTCTGACCCATCTCTTCCAGGAACTTGCTCTATTATTCGTCCTTTTCCATGCACATTTATCTCCTCTGTCTCTATTGGCTCCATCCTCTAAATACTGGAAACATTTTCAGGTCAACACTAATCTTTAGCAAAGTATTCCCTCACCTATCAGACTTCTTACCTCCAGACTTCATAGAAAAGTTCACAGTCATTTTATCCAGTTCCCGTGCCATGAATTACCATTGGTGACCTACCTTCCTCACCCACCATTTTACTGAAGCAGTTCCCGCCGACGTTTTCCACAATGACCATATCCACGGACATAGAGGCAGTCCCCATTCTCACATGATCTCACCACAAAACATTTAGTCTTTTTGTCCATTTTATCTTATGACACTGAAATTTCTAGATTCTTCTGCTAACTTCTTGCAAACACCTTCTCTCTTGGGCTTATTTACCTGCTCCCTGGCTCTAAATGTTCAAATTGCCTCCAGGACTATTCCCCTGACATTCTCTTCTCTTCCCCTTCCTTCGCTTCCTCTCTCTTCCCTTCCCTCTTTCTCTCTTCATCAGTTACTACAGTATTAGCTCTAATTTCCAGTCAAAAAGCTCTGAAATTGATTATCAACTGTTTGGATTCTCTTCCCAAACCAATCATTTTCCAAGTCTTAATTCAAACGTCACCTCCTCCGAGTTGCTACCTGGATCTCCCCCAGGATACCCTTCCCTCTTCATCCAACAGCACTTTTCACATTATAGTTATGTTTACTTGTTTTAATCCCCCAATTACTGTGCAGCTGTAGTTCTTAATCAGAGATGCTCACAAGAGCCTCCTGAGGATCTTTTAAAAGATACATATTCCTCAGTCCCTTCCCTACAGATTTTTGCTCTGTGTCTACAGTGGAGCCTTGGGTAGCTGTAGATTTTAAAGGTTCCAGGGGTCACTACAACAAGCACCCCTGGTTGAACAGAATGAACCACTGAGTCTGGGACTCCTGAGGGCAGAGTCCTTGTCTTCTATGATGCAAAGTTCTGGCATAGGGCCAGGCACAGAGGAACAGCTTAATAAATGTCTGTGCCTGTTGTATGATGATTTCATCTTAATGATGTTCAATCCATCATCCCGGTTCCCAAGCTGGATTACATTTGGCTGGCCTTAAGTTCATTTTCCACTCTGCTGCTTCCAGAATGCCTCTTTCAACTCACTTTACCTTCCAGATACTTTGCTCCCTTTCAGATCTTGCAAAGATCCCTTCTAGTATGAAAACTCGGCAGAATTCCTCTCTCCCACCCATGTTCTTCCTTCTCCCTCCTCTCCTATAGACATGCATTCTCCCATGTCTTTCTTTTCCTCTCTCTGACCTCTCAATTCTTTCTTCTAATTCCACCACTTAATTTTCTACTGCTCCTCTGTGACACCTTACCTTTGACTACTGAACACTGAGATTTCCCTCACCATCTACAGGTAGAAATTAGAAGGTTGAAAATGAAGAACTACTAGAAAAAACAAAAAGGATCTTTTTCATCATCTCCATTCAATTCAAATTAAATCAACAAACAGCTACTGAGTATCTACTATGTGGCAGGCATTCTCTTAGGCCAGGGAATCCAACGTGAATCAGATATCATCTCTGACCTTCAGTCTCAGGAGCCTGGACTTACAGCCAAATAGGTGAAGAGGACACATAAACAGATTGTTAATTAAGTGCAAGATGTACACGTTAGACAGTGAGAACAAAGAACAGTGGAGGAATAAGACAGACATCAACTCAGTGTGGAGGGTTGGTAGGGATCCAGGAAGACTTCAGAGAATAGATCCCACTTAGATCTTAAAAGGTGAGTAGACACTGTCAGTCAGACAATGGCAGGAAGAGTTTCCCAGGCAGAGACAGCACTGAGAGCCAAGGTGGGGGTGGGGAGTAGGGGGTAAGGGGGTGTCAGCAACAACAAGCAGCCATGACCCAATCAGAAATGGGAGGATCCTTGCTTTGTTGGAGGAAGGGAGCATGGGATTTGAGTGGGAGGAGACAGAGGCAGAGAAGTAGGCAGGGGCTGTAAGCCTTGAGGAAGAGGAATCTTGCAAGGGTTTTAAATGGGGGGATGACATGATTAAATTTGCCTTCAAACTGGCACAACTTTTAGAAGATCCTAGAAAGTTAATCCTGACTTGGACCTTGTTTTATTACCCTCTGTTAATCCATTTTTTTTCAAACTTATAAAAGGCAAACAATACCTTTTTACAACATAAATGATTTGCGTAGGGGCATTTGAAAAGGCTTCATTTGATCAAATACATTTTTTAAAAACCAGGAAACTACCAAAGTGGTTAGGGTTAGCAGGTACTTATTCTCAAGGGGGCACATAAGCAGCTACTCTGTAATGCGTGCAAGGATCATTACACGTTACTTTCTGTGGGACCCCATAAAGGCGCCACGTTCAACTTGACTTTAATAATTCGCTCAATAAGTGTAGATCTGTGCCCTCTGGAACTCACTGTCCCCATGCGCCCTTACTGTGCTGAAGGTCACAGTGCTGACCTTACCTCCTAATCCTTTACAGGATCCTTTCCCAGTCAGCCAAGGGAAAGGTGAGTGTGTATAAGCAGAGCAGAGTTGCTGCAGGGCAGGGGCTGGAATCACCTGGAGTTTGTAGAATAAAACAAGGAGGAAACTGCTCACAGAACCCAGCAGACTATCTCATGTGCTGCCGGAACACACACACCACTCTGAATATCCCAGCTCCTTGCCCACTTAGAAAATGTATTCCTCAAAGTGCGGTGACAATGAGTAGTGGCATCTACAGGGAGGCTGGCAGAAAATCTACTAAGGAAGGCAAAGTAAGATGCAGGAGCAAGGTCATAGCAAAGTTACAGAGTCAGAAGGTACCAAGTAACAAGGAACAAGTGAATAGAAATTGGAAAGATCTACAGAACAAATATTTCCGTAAATTAGTGGATGCTTACATAAATAAATATATATTCATAGATATATATTTTTTTCTACAGTGCACTTGCTCATAATAATTAAGAACAGCGGCTATAATGCAAATTGACCTAGGTTTGATTCCTAGCTTTCTTAGTTTCCACCTCTGTGATTTTTAGCAAATTACTGAAATATTCTAAGCCTTAATGTCCTTTACAGTAAAATGTGCGTAACAGAATGTTAACATATAGATGAGAGTGGGGATTAAATAAGATAAAATGTAACACAAAGTTCTAGTATAGTCCTTGGGGCAAAGGAGGTGCTTAGAAAATAGTACACATTAATATAAATGGTCGTTAATGAAACTTTTAGAGACCTTCACAATAGCCCTCTGCACATTGTATTGTATTTAGTAATTCCTGCACTAAACTAGAGTTTCATTAGTCCTCCTTGCCACAGCTAGTGGGCATACGCTTCATACGTCATGCTAGTGCTAAAATCCAACTTAGCCTGGGAGATGTCACTTGTTCATTCAGAGTTTCTTGCCTGGCTGGCTTCTTATTTGTTCAACTTCCAAGCCTTTTACCCTGGAAAATTTCCCTTCTCAGTATTAAGTGGCCTTAAGTGCTGTCATAAGTCAAAAGATGTGGGAACTAAAAATTAGTAAAGAGTATTCTTATAGTCTTCAATATTCCAGATGACTCAGAAATGAATCTACTGAGAGATGCTGCATATCTCCGTAAATACCAACTATCAATTTGTGGAAGTTCAATGTGAGTGTGTGTGTGTGTGTGTGTTTGTGTGTGTATAAAAGGTTCCCCTGCAATCAAACATTGACAGAGGTATACTTCACTCAGATGGTTCTGCTAATTTTAAGTGGTGAATGGAACCTTTCAGAAGCTGTATTCCTTTTCCATTAGAAAAGTCATTTTAGCTGCTGAGATTCAGTCCCTAAACTCAGGATCCTGGAGTGGGGAAAGTGTAGTCCTCAAATGCATTGGGTGCACTGAACCGGTGTTAAATACAGCCTGGCATCAGGAAGAGAGGGTTCACATGTTCCGTATCTGATATGATCCTCATCACAGCACCATACCTAATAAAATTAATAAAGTTCTGCTGAGCCCCACATTACACCAGGATGAATGGCTGGGGCTTGAGTCCATATATTTTATTCATTTCAAAGCAGAGAAAAGGAGACGGGCATATTCAAGGTGTGGTGCAAGGACCCAGTCTCTCACAATCCTGCCCTTCCTATACTACCCCACACTGAGGCGCTAGGTGGGAGGTAAGCCAGTTAGTCTCACCTTTCAGGAGCCTCAGCCATACCTTAATATGGGTCATTTTTATCAACTCAATCCTCCTCTGGGAAGACAGCATTGATAGAGAGGCACTCTTGCCGTGGAAAGTGAACTCAGACATAAAGATTGGACTTGGGCTTGCAGAGGAGAGAGCAAAACCAAAAGGGAAGTTCACAAGTAGATAAAAGGGTCTGAGAGCTTTATAAGGACATGGATTAGTGACTGTGTCAAGGGGTGGCTTGAGGAAGCTTTAGTAACCCCCAAAACGCTCGTCGTCCTACTCCCCCAGAGCCACTCAAATAAGCATATGAATTAACTCGGCAGTTTCAGCTCTGGTTGCAGGTCAGAATCTCCTGAGAGGTCTCAAATGATACACAAGGCCAATTAAAGCAGGATACCTCGGCAAGGGGCCCAGGCATAGTTTTCTGGTTTATCTTTTAAGCTCCCAGAGTGGCTCCAATGTCCAGCCAGATTGAGACCCACTGTCTAAGTGAACACGATGTCCATGCACTGAAAATATAGACAAAGGCAATTCTTGAGCCCTCTTGCAACCGGATGACAGCTCCGGCCCTCCACCAGTGTAGACCCTCTAGAGTTAGCAGCGCCATGAACTGCCTTCTTTTCTAATAGCACAGCTAAGGTTTCTAGGATTCCTGTAGAATGTTGCAAACCCCAGTCTCTCCCTACCAGGCAAATCTGGTCCTTTGCAGAAAAACATTTGCCAACCCTTGCAGTAAAAGACAAACATTTAGTCATCTCATCTTCAGGTCTAAATAAGAGCAGCAGTTACTACTGAGTATCTTCTATGAGTTGAGCACTCTTCTAAGATGTTTCACATACGTATCACTAATGCTTATAACTCTGCAGAGTACAGATTATTGTACATTTCCAAAATATTTCTAAAATCTCTCTTCTTCCTCCACACACTGCCTCCATCTTAATCCAAGCCACCATCATTTTGTCACCCCAAAGACTGCAATGGCCTCTTGCCTTCAATCTTGCCCTATTCAATGTATTCTCTACACAGCAGCCTCTACACAGGGCGACCTTTCGAAAGCAGAAGGAGGGTTGCTTAAAGCCCATCAGTGGCTTCCATTCTTGGAATAAAAGCTAGACTCCTTCCCAAGACTTGCAGAGTCCTGCAATCCGGCGCTGGCTTCAACTCCACTCTCATCTTGTGCCCCTCCTTCCCCGGCCCTCCGCACCGACTCCCTTCCAGTTTGAGAGCGGCTGTATCTTATTCAAATATGTTTCCTCTGCATGGATCTCTTGCCCTGAGTCCCTTGGATCCTTCAGTGCTCGGCTGGAACAACATCCCCACAGAGACGTGCTCCCTCTTCTGCATCTAAGTAGCCACCGACTCCCTCCCCATTTGTTTTCTCTTGCTCTGTCCTATTTGCCCCCTCGTCACCCTTACCATACTTAGCAAGTCTCTACCGTGCTCGACTTACTATTTTTGTCTGGCTCTCCCACTGGGCTGCCAGCACCTCAATGACAGGGACCTCACCTCATCTCTTACAGTCACCAAAGTGCCCACAGTGCTTTGTTCAATGCCTAGTACTTAGCCACTTTGTAAGAAACATTTCTGGGATGAACAAAGAAGTCCATTTTACAGATATCAAATAAGCTAATTCACTTGCCTGAGATCAAAGAGCTAAAATGACTATTACAGCAATCTGTCTCTCAGAAGGAAAAGAATGTTCTACTAGTGTTTGTATAACCATTTCTCTCTTTCAAAAAAAAAAAAAAATCACACTTATCCTGAAGACCTTAAATGACTGTAATTGTCCCAAATCTCCTTTGCTCCACACATAACAGAAACCACAGCTGTGACTGTCCACGTGCTAAAAGCACATCCAGCTGGTAGCTTGAGGTTAGGAGGATTTTGCAGCAGTGGAAATCCTTAAATCGTTCAAATGTGCTTGTCACAAAGCATTTCTCTTAAGTGCTTTCTATCCTGCCCAGTGGGAAGCCCCTGTGTTTTATCAAGTTGAAATCCAGCTGGGCCACTGATAAGATTTCCCTCTGGCCAAGGGAGCCTGTGACCATTCACATCATCAAGTCTTTTCTATTGCTATCCTGGGCACTGGAGTGAGTTTCTGATGTTTGGATCGGCCGGGAACTTCTCACCTGCACAGTTCTGCTGAGGCTCCCAGTGGACGCTGATGCCCTCTCTCTGGCAGGCGCGGGTATATGCCAGCAATGACTCGCAGTAACAGTTCTTATGGGATGGACATTCACACATATCTGTCACGCAGGACCTAAGGGACCCAATAAAAAGAAATGAACATTCAAAAATATCAAATTATCAAATGTCCTAAATGCAGCTTGGAGAAAAGGGGTGGGTGGGTGGATGTCAACCCTTGATTGGACATTAAAGGTTGCTATTTTAGGTTGGAAACCTAAAAATGATATAAAAATTCTGCATGAAACCTTACTGGATACCTCTGAACAATGTGACATCAGGTTCCCTTTCTTTTAGAGTAGGACCGGCCAACAGAACTTTCTGTAATGATGGAAATATTCTATAGTCTCCGCTGTCCAAAGTAGTAGCCACTAATCATATCTAGCTATTGAGCACTTGGAATGTATCCAGTGTGACTGAAAAACCGAATTTTTTATCTGGCTTAATTTTAATTAATTTAGTTGCAAACAATCACATATGCCTATCGGTTACCACGTTGGGAAGGCAGCTCTTAGAATATAGTCCCTATTCAAGGTGCTGCCATTTTGTGAATAGCTCTGATATATGAATAACAGGTTCTATTACAATGTAACCCAAATAGTGACCAACCTGATGAAAGCATAAAATCTCACGGCTTTCTGAGGACAAACAATTAGGATTCAATTTTGCAATATCTCAGAATCTTAGTCTTTTGAGGAACACACTGAATCTCGTCCTTTAGAACATGGGGTGACAAATTCCAAACAAAGCAAAACTATCAGGCCCCTAATTAGACTGCAAGAGAAAAGGCGACTGAGCCAAGGTCTTTGTTGCTTGAGTTTAAATGCGGAAATGATGGGCCAGGACGTAAAGCGAACTGAAATGTGTTTTAAATACAGACTAATAAATTTTCAAATATGCTGACCTTGGAGGCATAGTAACAACCTCACACTGGAATATGATATTACAGTTTACAAAGGACTTTCACATGCAGTCTGTCACTGAGTGCTAAATAGGATGTAGCGTAGTCCCTGTTTTATAAATGAAAACTTCATTTTACAAATGAACAGATAGGCCCAAAGTCACATTAGTAAGTGGCAAAAGAGTGAATTAAATTACGCCTCCCGAGACTAGTGCTCTTTTTGTCATAGCATACCAGCATCCTCGTCTTCATCTTCCAGCAAGTTTACTGTCTAACAATTTTGACTTAACATTTTATGCAAGATGCTCAAGATTGATAAAATTAGACTACGCTTATTTTTTTCATACCCTGTTCAGCAAAACCTCTTGCTTACAGAATCTAATTCAAGGCTGGAAGCAGAAAAAAATAATATTCAAGATTACAAATAGCACCAATGATCTTGAAAAGTGATCAGGACATGGTCATCCAATGTTACAATGTGAGCATTTCCTCTGGGTGTGAGACATGTGTACATACCTGATTATAGAGAGTAACCTGCTAGCTCTGGGTGGAGCTGGTGCACTGCCTGCTCTGAACAAGAATTAAATGGCAGAAACCATATTAAAGAATCAGTAGACTCACCGTGTACCCTCAAAGTTATTACATTTCAACACGCAAGGGCACAGCCTTGGAAACTGGGAACTAAACTGGAATAAAAGAGAGATGGATCTGAAGCCTCAAGAAGGCTTCCATTTCATCGAATGAGAGATCATTTTATGCCTGGTACTTAAGACACAATAATCAGGACAGGAAAACTACTCTCTCTTCTCTCTGTAATAATCAAGGCTGTATTTCTTAATACCTTCTCCACTTGTATTACAGAAAACCTGTGAAATTGTGTTCACCAGCAAAGCCTTTCCAATATTAGACACACATGTTGTGTCTTTAAATTCATGTGGAGCCTCCGGGCTTCCAAGAAGAGCCAAATAAAGGCTGTCCTTAAAACAGCCTCTAAATGTCTGAGTATGAACCCTCCTCAACATCGTTTCCTTTGTTGTTTCAACTTTTATTTCAGACTAACCCACACTGGTCACATTCATGCTCAGACTTCACAGCAACATTTTCAGCTGCCCTGGTCCTACCCTCCAAGCCCGCTTCTGCTTCACATCTGTCAAGCACCCTCTTTCCTGGCCCAGGGATATGGGTCTCCTGCCCTTGTACTCAGCTCCCACTGACGTGACAAAATTGGGATGGCACCTCGTGGCCCTGGTAAAATGATGGTACTTGTATGGAAAAGATCTCAGTAGGAGGAAATGCATCCTCTGCTTTGAAAGAACGTCTAATGCAATTCTGTAAAATTGTGTGGACAGTCAACAAACAGAATTTAACTTGTTTGTGTGAAGGGATTGCTGGCCAATGTTTTCCTTCTTTTCTCTTTATTTATTCCAGTTGTCTTATGAAGCTATTTATACAATTTAAAATAAATTATGGACAGCTAAATCCAATTCACTGAGACTGCTGAGAGAAAATGTTCTAAGCACATACTTAATAATTGCTACGTACACGTACTCTACCCCACCGACAGACTGCTCTGGGCCCTCAGGCACAATCAGTTATATAGCTACCCTTTAAAACTAAGGAAGATTTGGGCTTCTTCTATTACTTGTTCTATTGCCACTCATGAGAAACAACATTTGAGGGAAAGACGTTTGTCAAAATCAGCCCTTGACTTGAAATATGTCACGTATTTCTAAAGGCTTGAAAGATGTGTTTTGTCATAGAAGTTAAAACTATGTCTTTTTTCACTTGTCAAGTTGATTTTTATGCAAAATTGTGCCCAGGGTTTGTGAGAGAATGGAGGAATAGACAGTGCATACTCTGCTAGAAAAGTGTAAAACTGTTAGCTCTTATGTTGAGCATTTTGCTCTACTCAGCTTTTACATGAATTACCACATTTACTCCACTCAGAAATGGATATGAGGCAGGTCGTATTACTAGCCCACTTAACAGAAAGGGAAACTGAAGCTTGGACATGTTAACAAGTTGCCCAGGGTCACACGGCTGATGACAGACCCGGAACCGCAAAACCAGGACTGAACTTAGGTCTTTCTAATCTCAACACTCATATTCATAACACCACTAGAAGATCTTTCTAGAGAGCAATTTGGCAATACTTATAAGTAGCCCTAAGAAACGTTCTTATCCTTTGATAGGGAAATTCCACATCTAAGGAAATAGTAACGCACGTGGACACTTTATATACAGGGGTTTCATCACAATGTTGTTAAAATGAAAAAAAAAAAAAGAAAAAAATAACCTAAATTGCCTACAATAGGGGCCTGGTTAGATACATTTAGGTGACCGCTATGATGAAATATTCTATGGCTATTACAATGCTGTTTAGGAAATATATTTTAAAATGCGAGGAAATGTTCAGGAAGGATTAACTGAAAAAGAGCAAAACTGTTTCAGTCTTGTGTGGTCACACACAGAAAACAAAAATAACTGAAAACAGATATGCCCAAATATTCGTAACAGTCAACTCAGAGTGGTGGCTCTTTTTATTTTCCTCCATATTTTCTACAATGAACACATATCACCTTTCTAAAAAGATAAAAAATCACAGTGTATTTTTTAAACAACAAAAAGAACGACATAGGACATATTAATATTTAAATCCAAATTTAGGAACTAGAGTGAGAAAATAAAGAATGGGAGAAAATCAGAGTTTCTGTTTGTAGATCTTAGTTATTAAATACTTCTCCAGCTAAAATCTTTCCAATCTGTGGATCGGGGGCCTCCTGACATAGGCTGTGATTTGATTCACTTTATGTTGTCCTCAGATTTCCACGTCATTGATCTACTGATGCTTTGAACTTGACATCCAGGCGGATGGAATGGATAACAGAATAATTATGCATGCTTCTGCTGGTTACAAAGGAATTTATTAAGAGAAAATAAAAGCATCCTCGTATGCCTTTCAAATGTCAGGGAGGGGCAAAGCTACTGTCATTCAATTCCTGTTTATCACACTTAATAATTCAGCGTGAGGAAAATCTAATTTATGACACAGTGGAGTTGAATTTTTATATGTTAATGGAAGATTATGGTCCTTTCCTTAGTCAGTATTCACCGATATCTACATTTATATTCATTTTACAGAATCAGTAGCAGAATGTTATCACTTTCAGGAGTTACTGAGATTTATGGCTTTGGCTTCTCTGCTTTCATGGCATTATTCTGTCAGCAGTGTCCTGTTTGATGCTGAGTTCTTGGTCCGAAAACACCGCCACCCATTGCTCCAGAGTGAAAACACAGGTTGCACTGCAATTAAGATTCACCAGGAATGCTCTGCAGGTAAAGGGCACTGGCCTGTGCGGTCCCTTTAAGGTATACTTTCTGTCACAGGAGCTTTTAATTCATGTACCTAGAAATGCTTTTCTGATGTATCCTCCCTGCACTTGGCATCTTTCCTGACAGCAGAGAGGTGCAGGCAGGACTCTTGCTCCGTGGGGTTTGCATAGCTGCATGGTGCAGAGATATGGAAAGAGGACGCCAGGAGCTACTGCAGGGTCCCAGGGAGCTGATGCCGTGCTTGCCAGCACTTTGTCACACCACCTGCCTCCCTTCTCTAACCATTTTATGTACGTGTGCCATGCGTCACTAAGACCCTTTGAAGGCTTTTCCTCATAGCACCCAGCAGAGTACGAGTATCAGAAGCCATCTGTGGTCCCTTCCCTCCCTGAAATACAACTTATCACAACTTACCTGCAGGGGAGCCCTCCTCATCTTTTTTCCCTCCCTCAAGTCACAACCACTGCCTCCTGTAAAGCTCTAAGAGAGTAGCCACTAGCCACATGAAGCTATTTAAATGGAAATTTAAGTTAACTACGATTAAATAAAATTTAAAACTCAGTTCCTCAGTCACACTAGCCACACTTCAAGTGTTCAGTGGCCACATGCGGCTAGTGGCCACCATATTGGACACTTATACCAGTTCCATCACTGCAGAAAGTCCTACTGGTACTGGACGGTGGTACCAAGTATGCAGCTCCATCTATGTTGGGAAACCATCCCTGTCCTCTGCAGAGGGATTTATGGGTGTAGTGAGATTAAGATGAAGTTCACTCCTGATGTCTCACCGGGCACCTACAGAAAAAGTTCAAATTTCTTGGCCTCAAAAAGTCAAGGTCGGG